CGTGTTTGTTTAAATATTTTGCATACAATATTAAGGAGATTAGCTCTATGAAAAGAAAGCTACTAGACTCCCATCTGCATAAAACTCCCCCGTCAGATGAACGAGTAACGTTTGAAAGCGAAAATGTGAAAATTTGCTCATTCTCATTTACTTAACCCATTTAAGCCCACCGGCAACTATAGTTGCCGCTTTGTATAGTTGTCATTTTCCTTGTGTAAGTATTTTTCTAGATGTTATCCATGTTGAAATGTCGCAATGTCATGCAAGGAAACAACCAAATAAAGGATTTCAAGAAAAAAAAAAAAGGTATTCACTTCCTTCCTGTCACATGAGGCTGTCATCTTCCTCCCCTACTTCCAGGAAGCATGGCGAAGACAAACCCTCCCAAAGAAAGCAAATTTTCATATTACTAATAAGTATTTTTTGTTGACATATAATATATTTCAATATAATCATGAAGGTCTCTAGAATCTCTAAACAAAACAAATCTTACAATAGATCTATAGTTTTTTGTATACTTAGTCAAAAGTGCAAGCGGCAACTATAGTTGCGGTGGCAAATGCCTTGTAAGTACATATATCATGGGGAAATGGGTATACTGTGTTAATAGGTTAATAATTCAAGGTTATTGGACTTGTTTAATAAGTTTACCCTTTTATGCACTGTTATTTAGTTTTTTTGCCATTTTGCCATTTGTTTATATATAATTATTATATATATATATAATACATACATTATACATATATACACATTATTGCAATATGCATATACATATATATACACTTTGCAACAAATTACATTTTTGATATATGCCATATCTACATATTATGAAATCATAATTATAACAATATAAGTTACTTTTTTGTCAAGTTTAGCAGTTTTTGTACTGAAAAAAAAAAATATCAGTTTTTAATAATGTTACATTATGATTAGAACCAAACCTGATCAGGATGTTACAAAGAGAAAAGTTGCAGTCTTTAGAGTTTATAATTTAATTTCAAACATCTTTTTTCATATAATTCAAAAAATTGTGTGAAGTGTGCCACCAAATTTTCTGTGTTCTTTCTGATTTTGAGGATGAATTTTGTCCATTGACAAAAATCATTTGATTCGATAACATTATTGAAAACAGATTTTTTCCAGTACAAAAAATGCCTAAACTTCGACAAAAGTTACTTTTATTGTTATAATTGTGATTTCATAATATCTAGATATGAAAACAACTGGAAAAACTTGTGAAAATATGTCTTTCATTTAGTCAAATATAGCAAATCGCAAATATGGAGCTCTGCAGCCATCTACTGGTTAAAGTGATAATTTGTTACTTTTAAAACGGCATTTCCAAAAGATTGGCAAAATCTTACACTAAACCATGTCAATTGTCCATGTTATCCCCATAAATGAAAGTTAGAAATGTGGGTCAAAAAGACCCCAAACAGCACACAAGGTTAAGACAAACGGATTTGTTGTTTGTTGTGTTTTTTATTCAAGACATTATAAGCTATAGATTCCGCTTTTTGGGTTCGCATCAAACATTCTTCGACTTTTATACACAATAAATTTGTTTATGAATAAAAGATTGATCTGTTGAAAGCAGTTTATTTGAGATAGATGCCAAATGTTCTCCTCCTATTCATATTTAACATTGATGGGGTTCATACACATATTTGCCCACCGGCAACTATAGTTGCCGCACATTAAAATACGATTTTCAAGAAGAAAAAAAAAAAAACCTGAGGAAATAAATGCAGAACATGTTCACATAGGACATTATTAACACGACTATATGCATGAAACCATTCAGAAAAATTTGGGCACAAATGGGTTAATTCAACAAAGAATCATAAACTTTTCAGAAGAAACGTATTAAAAGACTAGTGAAGACAATAGCTAGGCCTGAAATTGAAGAATAATCATTGAAAAACGGATCGATAATAAAAATAAACTCAAATCAGAAGAATAAAAGATTTATGTAGCAGAAGTGAGTGTCTGCATCCAGCTGAAAAACAAAACAAACAAACAACAGACAATAACATATAACCGCTAATAGAAATCCACAAAACAATGCAATTATGATTTAGGCTACACTATCATGGGTGGATAACGAAAGGTCTAAAAGCGTACCACTTCACCGAGCAGCAGTAGTCCTTTTCGGGAGGAGATGAATTCTTTACTGGGGAGAAGAGAATGAATTACGGTCTGTCGTGACCGGTTACTATCCGACGCCTCGATGTCCCCCATCACGCTGACGAAACTCTTCTGTTCCCGAATAAAGTTCACAGTAGTGATGCGTCCCACTATCTGCTATGAGACTCTTCGCAAATCGGCATAACTTTCCACAGAGTGGAAACGGAAATAATGACTGCGGAAACGAACACACGAAAGAGCAGCATCTGCATTCCCGAAATCTGGACTGGAGACCGTTAATAAGGGAACAGAAAATGTGGGCGAAACATCTCTCTCACATCACAGGAGTCTCCAAGTTGCAACTCTAAAGATATTATGTGCAACAGCTGCACATTTCAGACTGAACAGTTAACATCCAATAGTAGCCCAGCTAGTAAAAGCATTTGATACATCTAAACTGACTAACACGTTGTCGACCATCTGATAACTCTAAATTGTAGACATGCATTTTCTGTAGGCTAAAGCTGTTTTGAAACAATGTAGGTCTATTGTGAAACGCTCTACAAATACAGAAAATTACAGATAATAAAGTGATAATGAAAATTACAGATAATAAAGTTTTCAGAATGTTTTAAGAAGTCTTTAATGAAAAATTATTTGAGGTAATGTGTTATAAGTCATAAATGCAACCTCCACTGAATGTAATTAACCTATTTTTTTTAACATACCAACATGGTTAAATATAATAATGTAGGCTATGTTTTATATACAACATAGGCTACCTGTTTTTAAATTGAACATGGTTTGAAGAGATAGTTCTTGCTGAGATCACCCTAAATTTGCATAATAATTCTGGTTAACAATCTTTCAAAAAAAAAAAAAAAGTAAAATTTTACTTGTGCAGGAACTTAAATCAATCAGGGTTATTTGAAACAATAACACGATCCTCAATATGATCCACATTTATTTGAGTGGTGATACAGTAGGTTTCCCTTAGGTTTAACATCATGTAACATCAAGTATTTTACAATCTTATTTTGGTGGAAATGGTCCATTCACAAAATGAGAGAGCTGGTCATGCAGAGCTTTAATTTCCCCCTGTTTGGGCCTCTGTGGTGGTTCTTGGCTTGTTGAATGTGATTTTTTTTAAAAGTATACAGCCATCCACCGACAAAAAGGCTGCAGCCACAAAGCCCACAATCTGTCAACCAAAAGACTTTGTAGTGAGAAACTTGTTGGGTCATTCACAATGAGTAGAGATGCATACATGTGAAAATAAAATGTCAGTTAGATTTAATAAAGCCTACACTATCACTGAAAATATAAAGAGAGAGTTACATGAAGTGAGGATGTGTGAATTCTCACCCCTCCGCTCAGTGTGCCCTTCACTGTGTACGTAGAAACTGCTACCAGGCTAAGAATACACATCAGTGTAGCTGCAAAGAATGAGTTGAACACATCCTGTGGAGCAAAAGTGCATTACCAATAATTGTGTTTGCAGTAACAACTGCAGTTGCAGATATATTCACATTAATTCAATCGAGTGCTTGCATGCTCTTACAATAAGGGGCCAGAAGAAGAAAGTGAACATCTTGTTGAGTTTCAGTAGGTAGAGCAGAAGAAATCCAAATGTGATGACAAACTCCATGCATGTTGCTGCAATGTAGGGCGGCCTAGAAGCCACTGCATAACACACAAAAGCCACAAAAACACACACCTGCCAAGACAGTAATACTCAAGAGTGGTTCGAGGAATTTCAACAAGACATTTAGATGGTAAGTAAAATGGTTTCAGACTATATATGTTGTATTATTGGAATGTAATGTGATTTTGTGAATAATGTTTTTACATTGTGTCAAATCATCTGTGCGAACCTTGTTTTTTTTTTTTTTTTTTAAGCAGGTTTACATTGTTTCCCTGTTGAATTCAAAGTATCAAGTCTGTTCCTTGTACTATAAACAAGTCAGTGATTGTCTGAGCATTTGCCCTTCCCAAGAAGTATTTTAAAAAGTGTGTAGTAAACTACCATGTTAAATTTTCACAAATGTCTCACCATTTCTGCTATTTTCAGAAGACCTTTTGTGGACTTCAAAAAGGCCAAATCAACTTCCATTGTGGCTTCCATCTTTGTTTGTATGTTTTATTTCGTTGAGTTGTTCTCAAAACACAGCTTGACACTTGACAGACTTATAACGCTATCATTACTTCCTGATTGAATGCTTCCTCTTAGTTTCAGGAAATGACTAATTTCACATCTTTCCTTTTAAATGCACTCAACTGTTTTCCATCAGTATAACGGATTCTCTGAATTTAGACTTGTTCAGATCTTATCAGATCTTTCTGTGTGGTGATAATATTCCTGGATGCATTGAAAATCATGTAAAGTGAATGCTAAAAGTGATAAACACTCTTCAGCATTTATATTGCAGCTGGTCTATGATCCAGCCTCTAGCCCTCAAGCGTCCTTCGTATAGTAGCCCTTAATTGGTCCTTCAATTTCTCTCAGGTGTGTCATGTCATGACATTATCTTTGATCAAATAAAAACAATTTATGCACTTTTTTGTGATTTTTGGGATATTTTTGATTTTATTTATCTCTAAATGTACAGTATTTTATAGTAAAATATGTTTATTTTATATTTAATATTTATTTTACTAGATGCTGTACTCACTGGCTGCATATAGGCTGAAATCTATAAACCATTATTTTAACAAACTTAACCATGTATATGTTTACTTCAAATTGTAGAATTATTTAACCCTTGACCATTGTTCAAATTCACTACTACTTTCGTTATGTTTGTGGCTGAAAACAGCCACTACTTTAAAATGCTGTAAAAACGTATCAGATGTTATATCTCAGTCCTGATCAAAATTTCTAAATGTTTAAAAAACATATTTTAATTCCCAAATTCATAATTGATGTCACTGATTTAGGGAAAAGCACACACAAAATGACTTATTTTCAATATAAAATATGATTGTGGACTGGATTTTTTTAACCTTTTATCAGTCTTGGACATGTCAAAGATTAGAAACAACATTGGTTTTTATGCATTGTTAGTTTTAGCATCAGATTTTAACTTTTTCTCCCTCATTTACTGTTTGTGGCTGTTTTTACCCCGTTGACTGCCATTATAACCACATTGTTTCATTGCAAAACCATGACACCAAATAATCATGCATTTTTGATTGTTGGTGGGCTTTCCCTGTTGGGAAGTTGATACTGTTTTACTGTTGATAACCAGGTGGCACCATTAACCCTTTAGATAGGCCTGTAGCATATTCAAGTGTGTGTGTGTGTGTGTGTGTGTGTGTGTGTGTGTGTGTGTGTGTGTGTGTGAGAGAGAGAGAGAGAGAGAGAGAGAGAGAGAGAGAGAGAGAGAGAGAGAGAGAGAGAGAGAGAGAGAGAGAGCTTGATGCGTCTGAGAAAATCAAAATATGCACCTCAGCTCTCAGAAGAACTACATGGAGTAAACAAAAACAAAGTAAGTGTATTTAAATGTATATATATATATATATATATATATATATATATATATGAAGAGTTCAGATGCAAAAGCCTCTAAATGCCATTTGAAATTTTCTTCTTTAATGATAATTTTTATCAAACTTGTATATTTAATTTCAGTAATTTCACTTAATTAACAATTAATAGGTAATTATCATTGCCATTTAAGTGAAATTACTGAACTTAAATATACAAGTTTGATAAAAATCGTCATTAAAGAAGAAAATTTCAAATGGCATTTAGAGGCTTTTGCATCTGAACTCTTCAGATTTAAAAAAAGAAAAACCCTTAGGGGTTTCACTTAGACATCATTGTGATTCTACTGGTCAGTGATTCTGGCTGATATCTATATACTTGGTGACATATTAATGTGAATCAAAATACAACTGTCAACTTGTTTTACTCTTTTATTTAAGCAGCCACACATTATTTTACAGACAATTTCAATTCAATTATATTGTGACAGACAAACAATATGAAGCAAACGCTTCAATACGTTTCAATATGCTACTGTGCACTACTAAATCCAAGTGCTGCGGGGATGGCTTATTTTTCTAGGCCAAAACCTGCAAGAAAACTATTGCAGACTAACCAGGGTGTAGTCAGTTTATCACCCGAGGTTAGCTTTTTATTTCTGGAGGTTGTGTATAGCTTCAAAATTCATAAAAGTTGTTCATTTGTGAAAGTTATCTCGGTGGACAAAACATGCAAGTATCAAACTTTTGTTGATCACAAAGCTTATTTTTGCAATAATTCAAAAGCCTGTGGACAAATCATATTGGGTTTTTGTCGAGGGAACCAGTTTGATACTAACTTCTGGGTTGGCCTACAAAAATATCACTGCAGCACAAATAATAATAATAATTTGGTTTCAAATTAGTTTTGTAATTTGGATTTCTGAGATAGCAGCATGTTCTGATAAGGAACAAGGTAATAAACAGGCTTCCTGGAGTGAACTAACCGAGAGAACATGCCATAATATTATTGTGTGTGTAATAACAAAGGCATTAAGAGAAAGGTTTCTTACAGTAAGCTTAAGCTCTATCTCAACATTTCAACTACAGTCTGTAGGCAATTAAAGTATATAATATTATTTGTATTAATAAAAATGGCTTATTTTGTAATAATGACATAATTTGTGAAAGTTTTAAAACTGAGACTTTTATTTTGACATGTTTTGGTTGCTCATTAATGTTGCACGTAACACTGCAAGTTTTGCGCATCATGTCATCACACTTGCTTATTTGGCTATGTAACTACTAAACGTCGATTAAACTAGCGAGATGATTGTTAACTCGTTAAAAACGTTTTCCCGTGTTGTCTTACCTTTGTGCTCACACAAATCTCTGTCGACAAATGTACTTATCCGACAAACACCTGTTCTGGGAAAGCATTTCCTCGGACATCCGCGCAGCAGCAGCACATCTCTCAGTGACAGTAAGTCCTGCGCCAACTTCCGTTCTACGCAATATAACGGCGACCACAACTCTCATTCTTATCTGTTTTCGTAACATTTTTAGTTCTGTTCATATTTTATTCAAATCTTTACTAACCGAGCTACATTATGCACAAGCAGCTTTGCATTAACATTAGGCTACTGACATGAGCTTGTTGCCTTGTAGCTTACACCCCTCGAACCTTTGACTGATGCCATATTGATCAAACCCTGAATCCGAGAAGACATTCATTATGTTGTCTTTTTCTGAAGGAAAACTGTCAAGAAACGGCGAGAAGAGGAAATCAGTGGTAAGTTACGACTGATCAATAGATCCTCTTCTCTGAAAGAGGGTCACTTACACGGCTGATTAACACAGTGAACATAATATCGCTAAAGATTGGTAAGTTGTTTTGAAATTTGCATCCACTTTTTTCAGATTTGGTTAGAGGGAAATATTGCGAGTGGAAAGACAACATGTTTGGAGTACTTCAGCAAAACCAGTGACGTTGAGGTAATACAGTAAATGTATAACACTTCTCACAGAACCTGTAATCTCTCTCCCTCTATTCTTGATATTAATTTATTTAATAGAAATTAAAAAAAAAAGTCTTGTGTTTCAGGTGCTGACAGAGCCTGTGTCTAAATGGAGAAATGTGCAGGGTTGCAATCCATTGGTAGGGATCCAGTAGCACTTTACTGTGGGTGTAATGACCTTTGTTGTTCTCCCTATCTTTACACAGCTGAGTTAAGCCTGCTCAAAAGATGTAAAGAAAAGGTGTAACGATGCAATGCAGCATAAAAATTATGCCTGCTCCAACCCACCTAAGCCCCTTCTATACCAATATGCAGGTAAAATTGTTGTGTAAATGCATTTATGCCACCTCTGAGCAGCGTAATTGTCACTTCAGAGACACTTCTGTGCCACCTTTGCACTATAAATTTGGCACAATTGTAGGCTATAACCTATTTTATTGCATTAAGGCATGTTTACATAGTGAAGTTAAACCTGCTTTGTGCATGCTCAAAATTCTGTGTAAAGATACTATGCATACCATTCCACCTCACAGCCGCCCCACCTCTGATCCTCCTCAGCCCCTAGTATCAAATCATACATTTGTAAGTGATGTGTAAATGACACCCATGGACAGTATTAAACAGTCTTAAATGCCACCTCAGAAGTGCCACTGCACCAGCTTTGCAGTGTAAATGTGTTATTATTAGACTTAATTATCTTAATGCATTTTTTCACAAATGAGTTAAGGCTACTCTGTGCCTGCTTTAAATTCCATTGCCACATAAAAGCCAGACAAAATTATGCTTGCTCTGACCCACCTCAGACCCTGGTTTAAAGGTATATGGATACAATTCCAGCATTAAAACAGTCTGTGTAAAGACATTTAAATGTCTTGGAGGCTGTTTTATTAAAGTTTTGCTGTGTAAATTTGGCATTATAAATGTATTGTATTCTGTCACAGGGATTGATGTACCAGGACCCAACCAGATGGGGGCTCACCCTTCAGACATATGTGCAACTCACAATGCTAGATCGCCATGTGAAACCAATGGCATGTATAAGTCCTCTTTCACATCCCTACAGTCAGTTTTGTTCAGTTGCTTTACATGTAGCTGTTTCTGTTCTGCAATACCGAAATGAATCACCCCCTTCTGTGTGAATAGAGGAAATGGAATGCTAATCATTCATGACCTGTTGTTTTTCTTTCTATCATCACAGTCACTGCCAATCAGAATGCTGGAAAGATCTATTTACAGCGCAAAGTACATTTTTGTGGAAAATCTTTTTAAAAGGTAGATTTGATCAGGAATCTGAAATGACATTATGTCAACTATGTATTATCAACATTAAATGTGTAGCTGTTATCGTTAAATAAAACCGCATTGTTTGGTTGACAGTGGAAAGATGCCTGAGGTGGACTTTGCTGTTTTAAGTGAATGGTTTGAGTGGATCATAAAGAACATTGCTATTCCTGTGGACCTTATTGGTATGGAAAAAATTTCTGTATTGCACTGCATGTTGCTTGTTAGATGTGGATAAATTATTATTATTTTAAAATTGTTATTTTGTATATGTTACTAATGCATGTGTGTTGACACATATTTTTACTCAGTTTACCTGCAGACCTCTCCACAGACCTGCTACGAGAGACTAAAGCAGAGGTGCAGAGAGGAAGAAAAGGTTATTCCCCTGGTGAGTGGTTGTTCAGCTGTAATTCAAATATTGTGTGCATGCAATCTGAAACAAAAAGAACAGTTGAGTCTCATCTACTACTGAAAATGAATGACTTCACATTTCATGTTTTCAGAAGGATAGATTACTAATATTACACATTTTATCATATATTTTGAGAGATACTTTCATTGATTTGCACACTTTAGGAATACCTAGAATCCATCCATAACCTGTACGAAGACTGGTTGATTCATCAGAAGTCATTTGAAGTTCCTGCTCCAGTTCTTGTGAGTTTCTGTCAATATGTGTTGGTTAAAAAGCTTTACTTACATTGTGACATACTGTATAATCACCTGTTGACGAGCTGAAGTCATGAATAATGTTCCATGCAATATGTATTGAAGTAAATATGTATTTTTTTTTTTCACATTGGTGGGCAGGTAATCCCAGCAGATCATGATCTTAAGAAGATGCTGCATAAGTATGAGGAGAACAGAGAGAAGATACTAATGGTGCATTGATCTTGAGTAAAGGATCTCATAGAATGATGGTTTTATTAGTTTACAAATTTCTTCAGCTCTCTAAGAGACAGATGAAGCCGGCACTTTGTGAAAACATTCCTCCTGCAATGGAAGTTGATTTAGGAGATCACAGTAGGGTTTGTAAATTAATTTATATTGGTGTTTTATTTGAATACTGCTCTTTTTATGGTTATTCAGAGTATTTGCATTTGTAGTCCTTGTAAACCTGGTTTAAGCATTTAACAGAATATAAAGTCATTCAATTGTTTAATTTTATAGAATCATTCCATATGATCTGAAACTACTGCACTTGTAAACATTTCCATTGGTTCTTTTGTTATGTCAGTAGACATTTTAAATTCAGAATGGCAATTCAAGGGCATGTTACTTGTATTCTATGTGATTTGGTTCTGCATTTTACATTTACATCATCATACTCAGGTCTAATGAAAGATCCATTTCTTTTATTTTCATGTTCATTCTGCCATCTGCAGATACCATCACTAAACAAGTACAGTCAGATCCTGATGGTAATTGTATGTTACTTAAGGTGTTACAGAGACCAATGTATTTTAAACTGCACAAGACATTGTTTTAAATAAAAAACATGAAACATCATTTTGAAAATATTATTACATTTCAAATCTAGTCACATTATTGTATGGCATGTTCCACTGAAGCCTCAGTAGTACTGTAAGATTAATACACAAAATGCAGTATAAGAGTAACCAGAACACCATATTTTTTACATTTATATTAACCTACATGAATCCATGGTTAAACAGTCCTGCAGAACAAGTGTTCTTCCATTAAGACATGTAGGTGCACATTTAGCGGTTTCTTTACATTTAGTAAGGCACAGTATAAATCAAGCTCTAAGAATCATTTTGACCCAAGCAAGCTCCCAGGCAACATTTCATGATGGGGCCAATGTAGGCGTGATATGGGCTTGAGATATGGGTTTGTCTGTGAGTTCCTATTCTTTCCTATCTGAAATGGCACCAGTATAGGTTAATTCAGGTAGGGCCAACATGGACAAACCATGAAATGTTAGCTGGGTTCATGAAAATGATAGCAGCAAGAAACCTTCCTTCATTTTAAAAAGCTAAGATAAAAGGTATGGCACAGACATTCTTCCTGTTACCTTTGGAAATTGTAAGAGACCAAAGCTAATCTGAAATTATGGCTTCATTAACGAGAAAATTGGTTTCAATAAAAATGCTTCATACATCATTACTAGCACGAAGGTATTATTTTAGTCACTGCTAGCATACTTCAAAATATCTGGCATGGATGAGAAAAAAAACCTTGAATACTTTGTGTCTCTAAACCATCACATATGTTTGGTCTAGCTCGTCTTCTGGTTGTTGAGATATGGGACTCTTGTGTGCGCTTGCGCCCTCATTGGCAGTCTGACTGTGGTCAGTTGGTGGTCCAAACACTGTTGTACATTCATTCAGTGCGCTAGGGATGTAGATTGACTGAGGAGGCTCTTTAATAGTGCCATCCTGTGTAAGAACGGCATCAGATCCAGCACAGCTCCCGCAACCTGCAATGTTGCAGACAGGCTCCTGGGATGGGCTGCACAAGATGGGCAGGCTCAGGCCATCTGAGTGTTTTGTTGGTGGGGTTGTGATGACATCATTATGTCCACTAGATGGCTGGGTCTGTGCGGTCTCCTCTATGGGGTATTTAAGGGGTTCATCTGCAGTGAGGTCCTTCATGTGCATTTTCCCCATTTGCTCAGTGAGGTCAAGTAAGCAGCCTTCTGTTGAGCCTTCACGGTTGCGTCCTTGCAGCAGTGTCTCGACTTGAAGCTGTCTTGAAGTTGACTTGAAGTTGTCGTCTAAGGCCTGGGCTTCTACAAGTGGATTTGGGATGTGTTGCTTTCTATGACCTGGGATGGCCTCATTGTGTATGGCTATAGACTGGGGTCCACTCATGTCAGTACTGACCTCATGGAACAGGGCTGCATTGTGACCCCTGCATCCAGCCTTCTCCTGGGCCTTGAGAGGCTGCATCATTCTTTGAGACTTTGGGAAAATAGGCTTTTGTCGGATAGCCAGGTCTGGGTAGCTCTCCCGCATCTCCAATATAGACTTATCATCAGTCATGAATGAGCTGGGTGGTCTTTCTACATCAGATATAGTACTGTTAAGAGACTTGTTGACTTCCTGATTATGAGGTTCATGACTTTTAAGTGACTCTTGTTGCTGTTGTTCCCCAGGGTTTACCAGTGAGCCGCCTTCAACATGTCCATCATCCTTAAAAACATCCTCATTTAGATTACAGATGTCATTGATAGGTTCTGAAACCTCTTCCCCAGCACTGAAGGTCAAAGGAGAAGCTCTCGATCGGAGGATGTCCAGACATTCTAAATGTGATCTCTGGTTCATGAGTTCGAGAAGATACTCGCACTCTAATTTGGCAAGGAAAAGGTCGAATCCCATACTCTTGGCCTTTTCAGGGTCAAAATGATCAGACAGTATATACTCTGTGTCTGTTTCCACACAGTATCCGATACTCTGAAGAATACTCCTGGCAAAAGGCAATACTGGCTTGATGTAATAGACAAAGTTTCCTGTAAATTTCTGAAAGAACAGGGAAAAACAGAACCAATTAATGGAATTGGGAAAATATAGGAATATAGAATTTATAACATGTTTTAGGCCTCTTTTCACTTCTAAAATAATTCAACCTTTTGTCCTGACTTTGTGATAAATGAATTAAACTCATGTTCTTTTGAGACTGAGAGCGTCTAAGAAGACCAGTCTAAGAAATTTGGGATTTGAAATGTGAAAAACTGAATGTATTCTTTATTTTTATACACAGAGAATTAAATAATAGAGAACTGTTGAGTTATGTTATCAATTGGAAATGATATATAGAAAGATATAATAATACAAAAAAGGGATCCTCACACCATCGGTGCTCGGGCCCTAATTATACAATAATACAATTATAGCATAAAATGTCTCAAGGTTTCATTTTAGACCATTTAAGGTGTATTCATCAGTTTGGGTTAGCAGGTCTACCAGTCAACAGACCAGCCTGGGAGACAGCAAAACCATCTATCCGCCCCTCTAAAATCAGCCAGACCAGGTTAGGAAATTTTTAAAGAACAGCAAACCACCTGAGACTGGTTTAAGATGTTTTTATCATAATCAACTCTCAGAATATTGGCTATGGCAACATTTGGTACAATTCCCTTGGTTTGGTTTCACAGACAAGGCTTAAGCCCCAGACTAACATGCATGTAGGCCTATGAGCTGTTTTAACTGCAAGCAACATTTCCTTACCAAAGGAAAAGTAGGCTGTAGCTACCCCCAATCCTTCTAAAACCAGAAAACAGACTGACAAGGCTAGGCGACCAGAGAAGAACTGCAAACCATATGTGCTGTCTGTTATTGCCATCAGCTGGAAGAGAGAGAAAACAGACCCATCGATAAAACTTTTATTTACCTTTAATGTTTTAATCTCTTTCTTCCACGGAAACAAAAACAGGTTGACACAGAACATCTCCAGTAACTCGGCGGCTTTTCTAAAGTCGTGGACGTGTCTCTGGCAGTCTCTGTATTGTGCGTACTCATACAGAGTCTCGTAGAAGTCCAGCATGGTGTTGAATCTCTTCCGCGGCTCTTCCTCCGGTAACAGAAGCACGCGCCTGGCTTCATCTGTCACCTGTGTCTCTGAACACACTTTCACATCACCTTCACAACTAACTTTGTCGTAGTACTGTAAATACTTAACGAACACATCTTTCCGCGAAACCTGCGTTTGATCGTCGACGCTGTTGGTCATGTCTGTGATCAAGTTGATCAAGTTGTCTCCCGATGAGGAAGCGAAAGTAGTATGCAAATAAGGAGCGATGATGATGCATGCAGGTATCTACAACGACGCAAATACGGAAGAACTTAACCTATATTTTCTGATTCTATTTTAATCACGGTCCGGGATACTTTAATAGCCACAATGTCCATGACCAATAAGCGAAACGGGGTACTGTATCGCAGGCAAAGCGTGTTCGTCCTATTTTTTTACTGTCTGTGTTCATCTCAGCCTTAACAGATACGTATGCCTATAATATATTAAACATAAACTCAATACCAACTGCATTTTCCTATGTTTTGACCGAAAAACGGTTGATGATACGGTACCTACATGTCACCATTATTGTTATTCTTTAGAATGTGGGAAACACTGACATCTAGTGCAGAAAATAAGTAATTATCATCATGACTTTTGTGTAAGAATGGCCAGAAGACGGCGATGTAATCATACAGTTGACGCTTATTCAAGTCAAAAACACTTTTTCAGGCATACGTCACAAAATACCTTGGGTATTTCTGGGGAAAATCCAGCTTTAAACGATATGGAACATTTTAAGTACTCTTGTGTAAAAAAAAAAAAAAAAAAAAAAAACACTCTTGGTGTGTGGTAAACATTCAGTACAATATAAGATTGACAAGGCCTGGCCTGTATTGCCATCTGATGATGGCGACCGTATTACAAGCAGCAATAAAGGTAATACAGACAGTAATGGAAATACAGACAATGAGTATGGGACATGAGCAAGAAATAAAGCAGGAGATCCTGTTTCCATGACTAATCTAGCCTACATGGGGAGATAAGTTTTAAATGATATATAATTGATAGTATATTGTGATTATATAATTAATTTTATATTATATTATATTATATATTGAAATATAAGTTGAAACCCGTTATTTTAAATTACATATTTAAAATTAAATTATATACATAAAATTATATATTTTACTTTTTACTGTAGGTATTTTAATCAAATAAATAGAGCCTTTCAAAAATGTTTAAAAATCTTACCGACCCCAAACTTTCGGATAATAAATGAATTTGTTTGTAAAATGAACAACATATACAGTTGCATACTCCCTTGACCTGCAAGTCTTTTTTTTTTTTTTTTTTTTTTTTTTTTTTTTTTTGCTGAGAACAACATTTTATGAAAACAATTCTACAAAGCCATCAGTTATATAAATATATTAATACACATTTGAGTGTTTCTGAGAATGTAAAATTGACGGAGAATGTAAAATTATTCAACCCCCAAAAGTAAAATTTGTGCAGAATCTTTTATTCTTTATAACCTCCAAATAAACACCGCCTGTAAGTGCTTAGAAGCTTCTGTCACATGATCTTTACTGTAATCTTGGCCAATTTCTCGCTTAAAGAAAAAGTTTCCAGATCACTGATAATCTTTGGTTTTCACATTACCACGCTTTCTTCAAATTACACCAACTATTTTCAATGAAATGTCATTTTGAAAACTGTACAGGCCTTAAAAACATTATAGGCTACGACTGATCCCTGAACCAAACTTAAGTAGATCTAGATGGATACTTTAGGATGGCTGTTCTGCAGGAAAATCCATTGATTATCAAGCTTCAAGCTGTGCACCGAAAGCATGTCACTACATAAAGAGTTATTGGTGCTGGAGAATAATTAAAAGGAAAAATAATAATAATAATAACAACAACAGGAACTAAAGGGGGAAGAAGCTACTTCTATAATCTCACTTATCTGACCTAAAAATATTCGGTAACACTTTATTTTAAAATGACATAATTTCACAAGTCACATCTGCTTACCATAGAAATAATTGTAATGTAACAGCAAATTAGTTAATCACTTGCAAGTTGCAAATAACCTAAACCAAACCTTATCCCCAACCATATACCGTAAGTGCATATAGTTAATTATTATACCTCTTGTACTTACACTGTAACTTCACCTTTTAACCAAACAATCATTAGATGGTAAAATACTACACATTAATTACATAGAACAGTGCATGTTTAAAATCACTTGAATAAAATGTTTCAGATGTGTGTTTGACAGTGTGATAGAGTTGTGTGTCTTTGCATGGAAGAAATTAGCATTTTCTGGTATAGTTTAAAAGAAGAGGAGCTCTGGGACAATAGGCTAATTAAGGTGAGAGCAATGGCACAGGCCATCTGTTCAGGGTGCTTTCTGTGAGCCCACCATGCAAACAGGCAGGAGAGAGAGATGAATACATCAGTGCTAGCAAGAGGCTTGTAATGCATTATGAATGACAGTAGTCAATGAGCAAAATGGTTCAGGAAACATTCTGTCCATCTGGAAGCCTTTAGTTTAATCTGCACATTCTTCTCTGAAACTTGCCAGCGGTAACTGTGCACAACAAAATCTTACATTGCTGTCTAAACTGAATTTACTACACCCTAAAAATAATTCAATGGCTCTATAAATCACAATAATAAGTTACATTAATAAAATCTCCGATTGTTTGAGCTGGAAATACCAAAAAAATAAAAATTGCTCAAAAATCCAAGTTAATTTTGTCCTAATGGTAATCAATTTATTTTTTTTAACCAAAGAAAATTAGCATTTGAATAACAAATACTATTTTTTAAAATATATGTTTTGAGTTTCAGTCAAATTATTTGAGATTGAAGAAATTATACCATTTTGTTTAGGTTTTTTTTTTTTTTTACAGAATGTTATTCATTTTTACTTATTGTAACGGGTGTGTAGGGGGCAGAAGAAGACTCAAAGTCAAAAGGCTCCCAATCAGACAGTTTTTCTAATATAAATCACAGGTTCAAACAGGCAGGCAGGATAACACATACGTTGAATACAGCTAAACGCATATAACAACCGACAAGGACTAACTGAACTGAAATGAACTAAATACGGAGACTGATGGACATTGATTAGTGAAGACAGGTGAAACAGATGATTAACAAGAGAAACCAAGGTGGAGCAGGCCATAGACATATACACTAGACCTCACCTTGGGGTTCTAAGCATGCGTCAAAACCGCCGCCATCTTGGAACAGGGGTCTTGTCATAGGAAGTAGCTAGGTAACGCTGCTATCTCTGCCTTTACGTCGAATTCATTGATGGTGGCGGACTTTTGTGCAGTGTATGATGTTCACGGATGAAATCTGAACTAGGAAGAATGTTTTTGAAAAAAAAAAAATTTTTTTTTCTTTCTGGAATTAATGATAAATACATGTCTGACCGTTGGAACAAACCAAAAAAAACCAAGAAAAATCGCATTCATGATGATTTATGGTGATTTTATTTCCGTTAGACCTGTGTCTACTACATTGACGCTGATGCATTAAAGTGGAGGGGCTCCCCTGTTTCAAGATGGCGGCTCTATTGACGCATTCGTTCCAATGAACTGCCGTAGCCAAGGTGACGTCTAGTGTATATGAAGAGTTTGGTTCCAAAACGCTATAAATCCATTTTGATGAATTTGAGTAAAACTGTGTTTTCTTTAGCAAGAAAATGGGAAGATGAAAACCACTATTTTCGGTTTCAAATTTTCACATAGCATTTGTAGGTTATAATAACAATAAAAAATGAAATCCAGGTTTTGATTTCCAAAGATTTATTATAAAAACAGATCGTTTTTTCCCCAAAATGCAATAAATCCAATAATTAATTATAATTAAATAATTAAATTAAATAATTAATTTTTTCAAAATGCAATTAATCAAAATAAAATTTTATAGACATTGAATTTCTTGTGCATACTATAAATCCATTGCTTTAATATAACAATATTCGATAACACTTTAAGGGTTCATGTCATGAATTATCATGAATTCATTGATAAATGAATTATGCATTAATTCATATTAATATCATCAGGAACTATCAATGTTTTTTTTTTTTTAACAGTTCAACGTTTTTCATTCATGACTTCATGGATGAACAAAACCTTAATTAAAACATTAACTAAGACGAGCACATCATCATGAATTATGATTTATTAAGCATGATCTAACGTTATGCATATCGCTGTTGTCAACCTTGGGACGTCGCCGCTGAACTTTTTTGACGGCGATCAGCTGTAAACTGGCTTGGTCCTGCTCGGTTTTCGTTGACTTTGAATAAAACAACTGAAAGTTTTCCAAAAGATCCTCTGGGGGTCAGTGTGTCAGCGTGACAGAAGTTTGATGCTGTCGTGTGAGAACAAGCAACAGCCGGCATTTCCTCCTCCCGAGTCCATCTTCTTCCTCACGTAAATGATTCGATTTCGATGTCACGTTTACCCATGCAGGATGCCTTACCCTCCGCAGGTTCACCAATGCTGTCAAAATTATTCATTTTTTTGTTTGTTTGTTGATCGAAAGGACAAAATAGAGAAAACCTAGGAAGCCGGGTTAGTTAAAGCGCTGCCGTTACTGTTTACATTGCGTGGAATGGTGCGTTGTGATTGGTTTAGCGGATATGTGGCATTTTGCAGAAAAGGGAGACTGGCGTTTGTCGCGGTTTGGAAAGAAAGGGAGAAAACATTACATAATAACACGGCGGATATCCCATTTTACGTCAAATTAAACATTGTTTTGTATCTGGTCGGTATTGAAAAGTCCGATTTTTGCAGTAACTCATTTTTTTTAAAAAATGGCGTTTATCGCGTTTTGGAACCAAACTTTTCATATGTCTATGGGAGCAGGCAGTGCAGACGGCCAGGGTGGATCAGACGGAGGGAGGAGCCATGGTGGAGGTAGGCCTAGACGTGGGCGAAGCAGGTAGTTTAGGAGACCAGGGTGGAGCTGAAGAGCCGACTAGAAATGGCGATGCTGAGGGACTGAAGGGACATGGCGACGCCGCAGGCTCTGGTGACTGAAGTGCAGGCAGGGACACAGAAAGGCATGGTAGAGACAGAGGGAGTGAGTACCAAAGGGGAACTAAAGGCAATGAGGTGTCCAACTGAGCCGGGGGGACAAAAGGACGAGGTGAAGCCAGAGGAGTGCAGTCCAGAGTTGAGGGAAGGTGGACGAGTGACCAAAGTGAATCCGGGGGGATGAGGGAGCCTGGCGGAACTGGTGCACTGATGGGCCACGGTGGACCAGAAGGAGGTAAGGTCCACGGGGGACGTGAATAGACTGATGGGCTGAGGCAGAGTACTGTTCATGGAGGTTGGAGGTGAAGACTGGGGATCCACCGAGCTGGCTGGCAAACCCATAGTGACTTCACCTTGCCTCTGACTCGCTCACACAGTTTAAAACTAGATTAAAGACGCTTCTCTTTAGTCAAGCATTCACATAATGCTTACCTTTTAGTCGTCTGTTATGCCATACGGAACCGTTTGCCACTGAAACTGCTTAACACACCAGTGGGGCTCGACAGCCTTTTAGACAAACGGGTCGGCGCGTATGGTTGGGTTGCGGAGAGTTCAGGTTACGGAGAGTTTGTGAGTTATAACGGAAATCGTTATGAACATCAGCTATGCTAATTATTTCCTAATTATCTGCCTTTCTGCTGTTATCTTGGGACGCTTGTCCCGAGAAAAATGGCGTTCGTCAGGTCCAGTTTTGTGTCCAGCCTCTCACGGGGATTTCGGATGCCCCAACACCTGTGATGAGACGACTCAACGCCTGTGAAGAGACGACTCAACGCCTGCGATATGTTATGGCGCCGTTTTATTCATAAACAATATTTATATTTAATATTTATATTTAAACAATATGAATGTAAGCCAGAGGAGAACTGGCCCCCGACTGAGCCTGGGTTCTCCCAAGGTTTTTTCTCCATCCAATCTGATGGAGTTTTGGTTCCTTGCCACTGTCGCCTTGCTTTTGGCTTGCTTTGAGCTTGCTCAGTTGGGATTATTTAGTGTTTAGCAATGTTGTTGATCCTGTGTTGTGCTACTTTCATGTTATCAGTGTGAAGCTGCTTTGATACAATCTGTATTGTGAAAAGCGCTATATAAATAAATGTGACTTGACTTGACTTGACTTGAAGGAGATTAGATGAGGGACTAAGGGGCTGACAGGCAGAAGCAGAGGAGTAGAGTGGTGGCCGATGGAAGGATGTTCAGGGAGTCAGACGTGGAGCGCATGCTCAGCAGAGGTGAAGGCTCTGAGCTGGGGTGGGACCAGCGGTGAAGGTTCGGCAGGGCTGGACGGGACCAGTTGTGAAGGCTCGGCAGGGCTGGACGGGACCAGCGGTGAAGGCCCTGTGATGGACCGGACCAGCGGTGAAGGCTCTGCAATCTTGGTTGGCGACAAGGGCTCAGCAAATTGTGGAGGGCAAGGTCAAGACTGCCAAGAAGATCCGGCATGGCGTGGTGATCAGGCATGACGTAACAATCTGTAAGGGCTGGCTGTGTCCCGGATCGAGGCCCGACACTCTCCAGACACCGGATGATGGTCGTTCTCCAGTCTAGTCAGGTGGTGTCTGGGAGGTCTATACGCTGGTTTAAAGTGGCCCCGATCCAGAACAAATACCTTGCTGGGCCAGTTGCAATGTCAGTTGAAAGTTGTAATGAAGTTACTGTCTACAGAGGGATCAGAAAGCTCTCAGATTTCATCAAAGATAGCTACACTTGTGTTCTGAAGATGAATAAAGGTCTTATGGGTTTGGAATAATATGAGGGTGAGTAGTTAATGAAAAAAAAAAATCATTTTTGGGCAAGCTGTCCCTTTAAGCCTATAGTGAATATTTTATGAGTAGTTGGATAATCTTCACGCAGAGCTGATATACATAACTAAAACAATTTCCTTCCGCAAATTCATTCCGTTTTATTTTTTAACCACGAGAGGCAAAAGTTACATAGTGTATCTTTAAGTTTGTGTGTGTATATCACATCTCTGTATTTACAAATTTGACAATTTCAAAATTCTCCCAGAAAGCATTCAGAGATGAACGTCTCGATACATAGAAGTCTGGTGTTTTTATTTATTCAGAGGATACAGTGGTAAAGGAATAAAGACTCTATACAAAACATACATCGACATCTGCAGCTCTATGCAACAGCATTATCACTTTGGACAACTGACAAAAACATTATGACAGAGAAATAACACACTTCAGATGTAGATTCATTAAATGTAAGTCAACATTTACAATGGGCTTTGATGCTAGGGTGCTATTCTGGTGTAAGAATCAAAATCCATGTGGTCTAATGAAACTGGTGAAAAAGTTTAGTACACAAACATAAGCCATTTAAACGTGTTTTTCTGGAACATCAACTAAATAGTTGCAACTAAAATGCACAAACCCCTAAAAACAGACAGAAAATATGCAACGAATGAGAAGTAGATCTTCATTAATAATAATTTGGCAATATTCCTTTTAAACGGACTTGTGTTAATTTTATCTTTATGCACACAGAATTGCTATAATCTCGTGCTAACAAGAGTGACTTAAACTCGAGAGTTTACAGATACAGTATTAGTTTTACAGTGTGGTGCCAACAGCTAATACACCTCTACTCATTACATCATATAACATCTGGAGCAATTTTTAATGTAAGGTGTTGACCAATACAGCTCATGCCTTTACAGAGCTATATGACCCTAAAGAGACAAGCTCGGCAGTCAAAGTTCAAACTACAATAAATAAATAATAGTGGGCCATTTAATATTCATTTCTGTTTGGAGCTGCTTTTCACGACACACAAAATGTATTTCATGCACCAAATTCAATTGAATAAATCCCTACAGACGCTCTTTTCTATAAGAATATACTTTCGTGCGGTGAGGGGAGAGTGAGGGGAATTAGAGGTGAGGTATATCATGCAGTCATTTTATGGGCAACTTTTACACTAACACACACGCGCGTGCGTGTGTGTGTGTGTGTGTGAAGGTAAGACAAAAAAAAGTGAGTGGAAAAGTTTCTTCACTTTAGCATGTTAATCTAACAGTCATGGTGATTAATAGGCACATTGTATATAACATGCATGTGCGGGGAAGCCATTGTGTTACAGTAAATGAAGTGGGCAATGGGCAACAAAAACAGGAACAAATCTGATACATAATTATTTTGGAAGCACAGAGTGTGTCCAGCAGGAACTATCTTATGTTTCATTTCATATTGACATCAATGCTACAATGGCTTTGCTATTGAGCTACTTAGTTACCAGTCTCAGCTCTTCTGTTATAATGCACACAGCATCAATGCAGTTTAGGAGAACAATGTAAAATAGTTTTACACCCTTTGGCAAAGTGTCCCCTACAGCCCTTTCTAACTATAGTTTGTATTTGTCATATGCATTGACATCATACCTATCTATTTGCTTAATAAGATCTTCAGATGCATTTGAAAACTAACAGGAGGAGGAGACTTTAGGAAAACCATAGTCTCTGCAAAAATAAGGAAATATAAAGAAATCACAGTGATCTATTGACTAGCTGGAAAGCAGTACTTCTCAACCTTTTTGACTGCAAGACCCTTCTTTGTCCATGACAATAATTCTTAATATGGCATGAAATGGAAGTTGCGGAAGTTTTTTCTTCCTTACTGTGATATATATCTGAGGGAAATATGGATTGGATCGATGTGTATTGTTGTGTACTGAGAGACAGATTGTCCCGCTCTCGTCATCAGAGAAGAGAAGAGATGTTGCTGCAAGAGGGATGGGAAGTTATTTTGATTAAAGATTAAGGGGGCACACAAAAAAAATAAATAAAAATAAATAAAATAAATGATAATAATGATGTGCATGAATAAATCACTTGTAATTAATAGAGCAATATTCCATAAAAAATGAATTGTCAATTTTATTTCATGGTGACTTTAAAAAATATATAATGTCAGTTTAACGTTGTATATCAGTTTTTTTTTCTGTAATTAATAAAATGTTAATATAAATAATTATAGGACTTTCAGGTTGAGAACCACTGATAAATACAATGCATAGCAAATAAATTGTGTTTAGAAAAGTATGGATAAAAAGCATATCAATCTTCTGATGACATTCAGATTGCTTTAAAGGTAATTTCTCATATTTGCTAGTTATTCTATGAAATGTACAAAATATTATCTTAAAAAAACTTTACAGATTACGAAACGTAAATAGTTAAAACCAACCCTAAATTGGAAAAAACAAAAAGAAGAAAAAAAGGTTGTAAGAGAGTCATGTGGAAATAGTCACTCATGCAGAAACACGCTCAAATTGTCACACTAAAAAGAAAGGTACATTTCTATTCCCACGTAAATTTCTCCAGGTGATGTTTATTAGGAGGCTTTCTGCTCTTTTTAAAGTCAGGCCATCCAAAATTAGCTGTGGTGTTTGTGAAGTTGAAATCATCTATAAGTCTGTCAGTTAGAGAAGACGCACATTGACATATAATTACACCATAAGCAAAAGGTGAGGTGACGCACAATAAAAGTGGTCGATAGCCCTGTGCTCTCATGGCGGCCCCCGCTTTGTCAGATAAAACAGGAGGTGCAGTGTCTGCGTCAGGTGAAGTGAGAGGTAATTGTGCATGGGCTTCTGCAGGTGTCGGTTTCCTCAGCCACACAAAAGAGTCCCTCTCGAAGCTGGTTTGGTACAGGTGAAGCATGAGTGTGCTAGAGAGGTCAGGATTACAGGATCCTGTGGGAAACGCTGTCCTGAGGACTGCTGTCCGCTGTAGTGTGTTTGAGCAGATCCAGGGGCATCAGTGGAAGGGGCTGGTTTTGTTCACACACTACTGCTTCGTATGGGGGCGCTTCTTCAAAAGGTAAGGCTGACAAAGAGATGGAGGCGATTGGCTGGTGTCTGAAGTCCTGTAGTCTGGTTGGGTATTGGGAAGAGCTGCTCGCAGACACCCATGAAGCACCAGCGGGCAGATCCTCCGTCTCTCTGTGACAGTGTGCACGACACGGGTCTGTGAGGGAGTAGGGGGGTGGATCGTCCGTAGGAACGTATATTTGCGTCCCTTGTCCCACACATTCATCGTAACTGAAAGAAAAAGACCATTTTAATTAAACATGGTTATATACACATCTGATTTCAAAACCTTTCGACAACATTTCTATCAATATAATATCAAAGTTTGTTAAATATAGAAATATAGGAAAGTGTTAAAACTGTTGCGCACTTTCTTTAGGGAACCACCAAACATGTACTGTAAACTTGGTAGGAGAAATTATAACCACTAGAGGGCAGGACATGTATTGGCCCAGGGATTTTCAAACAATGTTTTGCCAAGAAGCCCTTAATATGTTGATCCCCTTGCTAATATATAATACATATAATCTGTATGGGGAAATATATAGTGTGATATTATAAAGACAACATGTTGTCTCCAGAATTAAAAAAAATTGGCTTTTTTAACTGTCATTATAATAAACACAAACATACTTAAAGTATTATATGAAAAATATTAAATATACATTTCAAATGCACTTAAATGTAAGAAATCTTTCAAAAATATTGTTAATTAGGGCTGTCAACAGAACAAAAATGTTGTGATTAATCTCATGATTTCTCATGATAGGTCAGGATTTTTTATTATTGATGACACACAATTAACATATGAAGAGTTCAGATGCAAAAGCCTCTAAGTGCCATTTGAAATTTTCTTCTAGAATGATCATTTTTATCAAGCTTGTATATTTAAGTTCAGTGATTTCACTTAAATGGCAATGATAATTACCTATTAATTGTTATTTAAGTGAAAGTACTGAACTTAAATATACAAGTTTGATAAAAATCATCATTAAAGAAGAAAATTTCAAATGGCATTTAGAGGCTTTTGCATCTGAACTCTTCATATTCAAAAAATGACATGAAACTAAAATGATAAATTAACCCTTAAATGCATACCACGGGTCTTTAGTGAGCCGGGACGTCATTTACTACCCTTCCTTCTTTTTTGTTCTTCAATCAATTCATTTAAACAATAAAACAAGACAAAATAATACAATTATCTTTTTCCCCATTAATTTTTGTAAAAAATTGTATATGGTCACTAACAACTGAGATGTGTAACAGTGTAAGTATATTTTTTTCTGCACAACATTAATTGAATCTTTGATAACTGAATAAGTGCAGTTTACACAAGGGACTATTTCTGATACCCAATGATGAAGATACGTTTAACTCACAGACAGAAAACAAAAGAATAGGAAGTATCATCAGCAAACCTTGAAATAGCTCAGTGATTTACTGCAGAGCAAGTACACAATCAAATATAAGTGTCACTGTCACTTTGTGTTGAAGAAGCGGTCAGCGATGAAAATACTGGTTTCAAAGATGTTGAAAATGATAATTTTGAGAATATGTTTGAGATTGTGAATATGAGTCAGATGTTGAATGTACTGGGAAATGAGCTCTGATGAGGACAGTGATGATGGTAAAACATCTAACCCGATCTCAATCACGACCAAATCGTATGAATTCGACGAATGATTAAAAACCTCACTCGTACGAATTAGTACGATTTTGCTAAATCGGACATATTTTACGAATTGGCCAATTCGTATGAATTCGTACGAATGACCTACCCCTTACCTCGCCCCTAAACCTACCCATGACGTGGGTTTAGACAAATCGTACAAGTGAGGTCGTACAAATTATTACGAATTAGACACTTTTTAATCATTTGTCGAATTCGTACGAATTGGTCGTGAGATAGCGTAGAAACATCTGCTCAAACTGAACACCGTCCAAGATCCAAAAGGTAAATAAAAATACTTTATTTTATTCTTCTGTAATTGTTACTCTAATATCAGGATTTTTATAATATCTTAACAAGTAGAGATTCATACAGATATAGATCTGGGTCGCTAAAGACCTGAATATTTAATAATGATTGGAGAAACATTCATGCATTTAAGGGTTAAACAATTAAGAATTATTTCACTGGGCGAATTTAATATTTAACACATAATCTATAAACGCTCTAGTACAATATTTTCTAAAAACCCCAGATCACTCCCTTCCAGCGTCTTGTGACTCTAGGCCTGTTTAAAAAATAACATAAACTTAAAATTTATATAATGTATTTAACAAAATTAATATAATACAAATTCACATAATAAAAGTAATATATAATAATACATGAATAAACAAAATTAAAGTGTAGTTTAAGTTGAGAAAAAATGAAAGTGTAGCTGAGACATTTTATGCTTCACCACATGTCAGATTTATGACAGATTTTTACATAGAGAGCTCAAATTTGACTTATTTTACTTTCTCTTTGCGATACCCTGCTACACAGCAAACAAAGCTCAAGTGAAGCATATCAGATTCAAAGCCTGATGTTTCCATCCAGGAGAAAAGCAAACAAAAAGATAAAGAAGAGAGTGAAATGGCCTACTTGCTTGCTTGAGCTGTGTGTGTGTGTGATGTGAGCTACATTAACCAGGGTCATGGGCACTTCCAGTGGAAGTAATGCAGTCATCTGCCTCTGACCTCAGCAAGAGCCGATGACTGCTTGTTAGAAAGAGAAAGAGTTAGCAGCAGGGTAATTGGATCTCGGCATGGTTAACCATATCAGTCTGTCCGAGAGAGCGGAAATGGGATGCTAGAATTGGTTTTTAGGCTGCCACCCCAGGCTTACGAAAGGGGGCATTGTGGTGGGCACAAAGATCTCTCATTGATGCATCTTTTGTCTACACAAAAGATGTGCATTTAAAAAAAAGAAATTAATAGTTATTCAGCTAAGATGCATACAATTGATCAAAAATGAGAGTAACGACAATTATAATTTCACTCACAAACTACGTTTCCCATAACTCACTGCCCGGACTCATCAGCACTCATCTCATTCACCTGTTTCTCATTATCTTGTTTAGTTCACACCATAAACACCTGGTTTTCACATCCACTTATTGCGAAGTCTTGTTGTACTGTGTGTCTGCATTTCTGAGCGGTTTCCCGTGTTTGTTTTTCTGTTTTTGGCTTTGGATTGTTCTTGGACTCTGATTATTGCTGCCTGCCCTGACCTCTGCCTGTTACTTGGATTCCCTTTGTTTATTCTGCATTGTCCTGTCTGCAGATTCTTGACCCTGTACAACTATTCTAAAATAAAGCTGCATTTGGATCTTCATCTCCACGTCTTGGAGCAGTTCATAACAATAGGTTTCTGGGAATTATTATTAGTAGTATTAAATTAAGATATTACAAAATACCAGTGAATCCAAACAGAAGGCAAGACCAATAATGCAAAATTTTGTGATACAACATTAAACAGTGGCCTTATTGATTTGTTATATTTGTTTTGATATATTTTATTATTTGTTTTTGTTGATAACTTAAACTGTTTGATGCATCTCTGGGTTTTTTGATCTCAGCCAACCAGAGATGCAGTGGCAAAACTCAAGAATGACCTTCCAGCATGACAGATGTTTTTCAGAGTTCATGAAGAAGCGTTTTGTGGTTTGATTACAATCCTGACAAGAGGAGAGAAAATACTTTCAGTGTTAGAAGAAGTATTTTGTAGAAGACACGCCAAAATAAATGTTATGTGCCAAAATTCAGGATTTTATTAAAGCAAATTAAAGAAATGACTATGAAAAAATCCAGATGCACTTCATGTCCCACCCTGACATCTGCAATTCCTGGGGACGGAGATAAAATAAAGTCTCATTACACAACAATGCCAAGGTTTAGTGGGATAAAAGTAAGTTTATTATTTCTAACATCCATCTTTAACAAAATTATGAACTAAAAATGTAAAAAAAAATGACAACACCTGGGTATTATTCAATCTATATAGCTCATTACACCCCTTGTGGACTGAAACTGTAAATTGCCCAATTAAGGGGGTGGATTCTGGAATCTGCTGCTGCTTCAATGTATACGTATTGATGAGTAATTATAATAAAGGTATTAATCGATATTTTTCTTTTTAAATATCAAATGAGTTGAATTACTTCTCTAGGCGTTTGAGATTTTACTTTGTATAGAAGTTACTAGTGTGATTACTAAAATGTTCATTTATTTTCTAATGTCTCTATTTGATATCTCAATAGGGATTTGTTTTGTGTTTGCGAAAGGTCTCCAAAGTGTTAAAACATAAAGGGGTCATTGAAGCCAATAGTTTAAGAGACCATTTCTTTGTTAAAGTCTTACTTCAGTTACACAAAAGTTTAGCTATCCTTGAGTGAAAGAAGGCATTAGCTTGATGTTTTGAGACGACTCTCCTGTTTATAGTTAGAGCCTGGTCAAATCCAACCTTGGAAAAGGAGTGTGTCGGTGTGTGTGTTAGTCTTCTTGGTTGCAGGTTAAGGAACCACTGCCATTATTGGAGATTGACTGAGTTGCTGTTCTGGACAAACTGGTGCGCAGCAACCCAAATCTGCGACCCGGAAGGTCATGACGTGCCTCTGAGTGTCAGATGCATAATCGATGGAGATATGCTTCTGTCTATCTGTATATGTGTGGAAAATTACTATGTTTCTCTATTTCTTAGACAATGACAATCAATTCAAGCTGTAAGCAATGACGTAGCTTAGACCTTGGAAATGGTATAACTGCTGTGATCTTTGTAACTGTAAGAAGGCGGCCTACAAACTTTTTTGAGAGTCTTGAAGCTGACTTCTGCTGATGAAACTGCAAACTATATTCAGTAAAACTTTTCTTTAATTTTTTTTTTTAATAATTCTGACTCCGGGTCTTCATTCTTCATATCTGGTTCTGGGTCTTTGACTGTAAAACCCTTACAAGAAACTGAAAAGACAAAGAACCTCTGAGAGAACCTCTTAAAAATAAACTCTTTTTACTTGCTCCTTTAATAGGTCCCAGTCATGCTTAGCCATTTTTCCCTGGTATCATTACCTCTTCCTGTTGAGCAGGTGGTGTGTTAATTAGCCCTCATCACCTTAATGAAGCTTGACGAAGGATGAGAGGGAGTAGATCTCAGAGTATATGGGGGACCCCTTAATACAGCTGCTACTGCTGATTTTAGATATATGATCAACAGTTGTAAAATCATCAGAAATTATTCATTTCCA